ATTTATAGCTATCTCTCCCATTCTCTGTTATCCTTTTGTATTTTTGGATAATGTCCTCTTATGAACATATTTTACATTTTTTATGTTATTTTTGAGATAGAATCTCACTTTGTAGTTCAGTCTGGCCTTGAAGCTGACCTCAGACTCACGATTCTCCTGCTTCATGAGTACTGGGATTGCAAGTGTGTTTCATGATGCCCAACAAAAGTTTTTAATTTTGCAGATCTTTTTTTTTTTGGTGGGGGAGGGTACTGGGGATTGAACTCATGACCTAGGTCTTGCTAGCTAGGCAGGCGCTTATGCCACTGAGCTGAATATAGCCCCTAAAAGTTTTTAATTTTGATGTGAAGTCCAGTTTATTTTTTCTTTTGTTAGTTGTGCTTTTGATGTCACACCCAAGGGATCATTGCCAAATTGAATGTCATAGAGATGTCTCCCTAGGCTTTCTTGTGATAATTATATAGTTTTAAATCTTTGACCCATTTTGAGTTAATTTTCACATTGTTTTGGCTATGGATATCCACTTTCCTAGCAGTGTTTGTTAAAAAGACTTACATTTCCTTATTGAATAGGTCTTGCTTCCCTTGTTTGAAAATCTGTTTGCTACTGTCTAGGTTTATATTCTTTAAGAGTATATATATATATATATATATATGTATTTTAAAATTTATGTATTTGGTACAGGGTCTCACTGTGGAGCTCAGACTCATAGTAATCTTCCTGTTTTCAGCCTCCCCAGTGCCAGGGTTACAGGTGTGCACCACTATGCTGGGTCTCAGTGGCTGGCTTAGTGCGCCCAGGGGTGGGGCCAGCACAGTATGTGGTACCAGGGATCAAACCCCAGTCCCTGTGCTTGCCTAAGCAGGCTCTTAGTCTGCTGAGCTATCTCACCAGCTCCCATACTATCTTGATTATTGTAACTTTGTAGTTTAGTTTTGAAATCATAGTGTTTTGTCAGCGTTATAATTTACTTAATGTATAATGTCAACATGTGATATGTATCTGAATGACTGGGGATGGAACTAGGGCTTTGTGCATATTAGGCAGGTACGCTACCACTTAGACATATCCCCAGCCTTTGAAAAATTTTTACTTTGAAACAGGGTCCAAGCTGCCCTAGCTGGTCTTGAACTTTAAATCCTCCCACCTCACCCTCCTATGGAGCTAGGATTATAGGTGTACAACACCATGTTTTATTTATTTATTTATTTATTTAGCGGAACCGGGGATTGAACTCAGGGCCTTGTGCTTGCCAGGTAAGCACTTATTCTACTGAGTTATCTCCCCGACCCCCAAAACCATGTTGGACTAAAAACATTGAGATATTTTGCATTGTTATTTTCATACAGAGTCATTGAAACTGAGTGTGTATTTAACCTACCAGTCACCTCAGTTCAGACAAGCTTTATTTCAAATCCAGTTAGCTACAAGTGACACATAGTCACAGTTAGATAGCTCAGACTTGCCAAAAATTGCATGTGATGCAAATTTTTGAAAAGGCTTATGGCCTCAGGTGCTGCTGGTGCTTTTGTTCCTCTACCATTGGGGCAGGCAGAGGGAAGCCATTTGTGTGTGCTGTAGAAGAGAGGGAACAGTTCTTTTTTTACTGGGAGAGGAAGAGGAGCTGAATGAGGAATGTTAGAGGGAGATGACTTGAGCTCATCCTTGGAGGTAGCATGGGGGCTTCAGAAGCAGTCAGAGTGGGAAAGGCCTCTTTTGTCAGTGTGTACAGCTTGGGCAAAGCCCTAGGGCTGAATGGAAGAGTTCTGTGCTCGTGGAGAGCCCTAGCAGTTCTGTCTGATCAACCAGATTATTAGGAATGAGGGCGGTAGTGATGAAGGAGGGTGAAAGAGATGGACAGAAGCTGACCAACTACCACTGGCCACCACTGCTCCTGTTATTCACAGCTCCAACATCTCTTGTCTGGGTTATTATCAGTGGCTTCCTCACTGGTTTCACAGTGTCTACTTTACCCCCTCCTTTTGGTTTCCTTTCCCTCATTAAGAAATTAATTCTGAATTATGTCACTTCTCTGCTCAAAATCCTTTACGTTTGGGTCCTGCAAAATCTGCCCCAACTCCCTCTGATGTTACCTGCTTCCACTCACTCCTGATCATGCCTCTCTGGCGATATTAGGTCCCCTGGGTCTCTGAACTTGCTTTTCTCTGTCCCTGGAGTATGCTTTTCCTTAGATAGCAAGCAGCTCACTTGCTTCATGTATCTGCCCTATCCTTCCTCATTTCTGTTCTTTAAAGAGGCCTTCTTGGCTGCCGGATCCTGAATGGACCCAGAGCGCAGGCCTGGCTGTGAGATGACCTGGGCTAGGGGATCCTGAATAGACCTGGAGCACAGGCCCGGAGTGTGAGTGAGACCACCTGGGCCCGTGGATCCTGAATAGACCCAGAGCACAGGCCCGTGAGTGAGACAACCTGGGGCTGCTGGATCCTGAATAGACTCAGAGCCCAGGCCCAGCATGTGAGTGAGACCACCTGGGGCCCACTGGATCCTCATTCGACCCAGAGTGCAGGCCCAATGCGGAACCCTTCAGCAGAACTCCTAGCAAAGAGGCTAGAGGCAAGACACACCCAGCTGATTCAGGAGCAGAACATCTTGCCAGAGTGATACAAAGGGTTCAACCCCAACGGCTGCAGCAGAAAGAAGTGGAGGACAGCCAGACTCTAGCCAGATCCAACAAACACCCACCTGGAGAAATCTGAACTTCGTAGATCCAGACCTGGTGCTAAGGTAATAACCCTATCTAAGTTCTACACCAAAGGTCAGAAGACAGTGGTATACAAAATGACCAAGAGAAGGAACAAAAGGCAGTCTCAGGCCCCGAGTCCACCCAGTACAAATGCAGAAGACACTAGCATAGAGGAAACTGGAAATCACACCCCTGAAATCTCTGAAATAACAGTGTTGGAAGTAAAGAAATAACTGCAGAACGGTATAGAAGAAATCAGATCAGAAATAATTTCACAACTAAAAAATGTAGTGGAGCCGGGGAGATGGCTCAGTGGAATAAGTGCTTCCTTGGTAAGTGCAAGGGTCTGAGTTCAATCCCCGGTTCTGCAAAAAAAATAAAAATAAAAATTAAAAATGTAGTGATAACTATAATCAAGGAAGTACTAAGTGCTTCTAATGAATACATTGACAAAAAATAGAGCAGAATATAAAAATGATGGAACCCCTGAATAAGCAATATTGGAAAGAAATAGAATGTATGAAACAGATTCAAAGTGATATACAGGAAATTAAAACCTCAGTCACAAGCTGGCAAAACCATTTGAGTGAAAGTGAAAATAGACTTGCTGACCTTACAGACACCATTGCAGCTAGTGAAAAAGTAAAAAAAGATCTCTTAAAAACAACTAGAATACAGGAAAAAATAATTCAATACCTGCAAGACGATGCAAAGATGAACAATGTGAGACTAATAGGCATCAATGAGAAGGAAGGAGTCAATACAAATGATACAAAAAGAATATGGGCAGAAGTAATAGCAGAAAACTTTCCAAATATAGGGCAACAATCTGACATTCAGAAAACCGAAGCATATAGAACTCCAGATAACATCAACCCAATTAAAACCACATCCAGTCATATAATAAAGATCCCAGAAATTCAGCATAGGAACAGTATACTAAGAGCTGCTAAAGAAAAGAAACAGATCACATTTAAAGGAAAACCCGTCAAAATACCAGCAAATTTCTCTTCACAAACCATCAAGTCAAGAAGAGCATGGAGCAGAGTACTTCAAGTGTTACAAGAAAACAAATTCCAGCCCAGACTGATATACCCTGCAAAACTCCCTTTCAAGTATAATGGAGAAGTGAAATACTTCCATGACAAAGAACAACTAAAGAATTTCATGATGACAAAGCTAAGCCTACACAGACTACTAAATGATGTTCTAGAGAGGGGGCAAATTGATCACAGCCCCATGAATGAGAATGGAAAGAACCCACCAAATAGGGCAAACAATTAAACACAGGAGAATAAGAGGTATACAATAGTAGTCTTTCAGTTATTCTTTTGTGCTCAGCAGCAAAATATTCCCATCAGCATACTCTACAAATGGACTTCTCTTCCACCCTATGGGTCATGATTCCACCTGAGTCTACCAGGTGGATTTCAAAGAAATAGCTGTAGCTCAGTTCCACAAGTGATGTCTGGCCACTGGTAACTGTCATGGTCATTACGCATGGTCCACAACACACTAGAACTTTATGCAATATCCTATCCTAAACTGTTAGAAGTGCTGGTCATTTATTTGCCATTCCAGTATTTGTCTTGTTTTACTCTTACTACTTCTTTGCTATCATGAAAACTTTTTCTTAGTTCAATTGTCTTGAAACATTTAATTTTTAATTAATTAGTATTTAATTTTCTGAATATTGCTTAATCTTAATTTTTGTTCTAAGATTTATACTATATCTTTGACTTACAATTTATTTAAAAGACATCATATAATATCTTCTAGTATTAGAAACTTTAAAAAGGATATTTCCAAAAAAAATAAATAAAATAAAATAAGGAGGGCTTCTTGTCGCATTGTACAGAGGAAAATGCTTCCGGCCTCCTTAAGTGTGTTGTACCTCCATTTGAGCAGGAATCTCGAAGGAGCAGATTTGTCTGTTCTGCTTCCTCTTCAGTGCCTAGTACTCAGTATTTGTTGAGTGAATAACTAGATGAATAAATAAATGGATCAGTAAAACAAACATAGTAGGACTTCTCCAAATGTATACTAATTTGATATTTTCTTTGAAGATTTTCCCTTTGTATTTACTTATTTTCTTTAACTTTATATTTGGTAAACTTGAAAATGTTCAAGAAATAGCTCAGTGAATATCCATGTGTTTTTTAAGTAGATTCAAGAATTGTTAACATTTCACCACAGTTGCTTTATATATGCTTGCTCTATGTATGTATGTATGTTTGTACAAGTGGGGCCATGTAAATCCACTGTAAAAACATGACACTTAACTCTTTGTACTTAGAAGCTGGCTCTGAAGAGTGGCAAATAAGAGGAGACTTCAGGAAACAGACAGCTTGGATCATGGCCTCTGACCTGGACTTCTCACCTCCTGAGGTGCCTGAACCCACTTTCCTGGAGAACCTGCTGCGGTATGGACTCTTTCTGGGGGCCATCTTTCAGCTTATCTGTGTGCTGGCCATCATCGTACCCATTCCCAAGTCCTATGAAGCGGTGAGTCCTTCCCCATGAGCCTTAGGTCCTCAGAGTGCCAGGCTAAGTTCTAGGTACCAACCTAAATATCACCGCAGCCAATGTAAAACAGCATGATGCTGGGTCCTACTGATTTAGTCTGTTACAGAATTCTAGTCTGTATACTGAACTACATGACTAATACTTGATTTGTTCAAACATCTATTAAGATTTTTATTGCTTGCTATGTACAGATTACTGACACAGGGGCTGCCTGCCTTTAGAGTGCTTCCAGTCTTGTGGAGGAAGCAGATGTAAACAAAATCCATTGCTCCCCTGGAAGCACAGAGTACAGTGAGGGTATGTAGCAAGGAGCCGGGGAACCTGATCATGCCTTGGGACAGTGGCTGGGCAGCCCCCACGGCTGGAGAGACAGTGTTTGAGCTGTGATGGAAGGAATGAACAGGCTTCTGCTGGATGAAATAAGGAAGGGGTGAGAATATCATTCCAGGGAGAGGGAACTGCTTATGTGAAAGGGAGTGAGAAATATATTAGTTCAAGGCACTGATGAAGGTAACTGTGTCAGAATACAGACAGGACATGGTGAGAGATGGAGTTAGAGGCTTGGGCAGGGAATAACATGATCAGATTGTGTATTTTGTTATTTTGACTCCTACTATAAATACTATTCTAGCATATCCTTCTTCTGCCCAGTCTTGCGCATAACCTCCTCCCTAATTTTCTCCAGGTCAAATAGGGAAACAGTAGGACAACTTTCCATTGATTTGTTGGAGAAAGCAAGTCTTTGTCATCTATGGTACCAGCATCCTAGGATTTGGCTAATTGCGTTTCCATGGGGTTATCTTAAACATGTTTCTTGGTTGCCATGTGTCCTATTCACAGGAAATTCCTTCTAGAGGCCTCAGTCCATGTAGGGAGTTATTTGGTGCAAATACGTCGTGCCTGGTGCTGTGTACTTGCTGTTGCATGTGAGCAGGCACATCTGGCTGCCACACATTCTATTAGAGATATTAGAGCAGTGGTGGTAAATCTTTGACACGTGTGCTGCAGCATGCATGCCATAGGTTTGCCACCACTGCTCTAAAAGGTTTGCTATCACTATTCTAGTCAGTTCAGGTGATGTCATCTCACCCATTCTTTATAAAATGTCCCCATCAGTTTTTCATCTAAATGGTTTTATTTATTTATTTATTTATTTATTTATTTATTGTATGTTAGGGAAGGGTCTACAGGGTGTTCAGGGTCTCACTACTAGATCAGACTTGTAGTGATTCTTCTGTTTATAGCCTCCCAAGTGCTGGGATTACAGATGCGCACCACCATGCTCAGTCTCAATTGCCATCACAGCATGCCTCGGGGGTGGGGCCCGCACGGCAGCTCTTTAATCTGCTGAGCTATATGGCCGGCCCTCATCTAAATGGTTTTAAAATCCACTGGTGACCATTGTTTAGGATTTGCCATTTTCCTCTACTGGCTGGAATTCTCCAACAAGGACATTTTTCTTATCACCTATATGGATATTCTGGAATGCTGTTTATACTAAAAACTACAATAAGAGCTTGCTTCTTTCTCTGTATCAGTGTTCACAGTAGTGATTTGAGATCTACGAACTTCTAATGTTGAGCAATGAATCTTCGGTTGTCATATGCTTTTGAAATATATTTGTATATAGTTGATGTGTTTTAACTAGCCTGCCTTTTAATGTTCATTTTGTTGCAGTGGAAGACCCTTCAACTTGGACCTTTGTTCTTCTCATATTTCAAGTCTTTGATAGCTTCTTGTTTAATAGCTCAATAAGATGTCTTGGGCTCCTCTTAAACATTTCCAGCCACAATTCTAGAATCACGCATTTCTGTAAAAATCCCTCGTTCTTTTTCGCTAGAAAGTAGGATTTAGAGACCACAGTTAGAACATTAGAAGTGATCAGCGCTACTGAGCTGTACTTGCTTCTTTGCCTTTTTACTGACTAAAGATAGCAAATAAACAATTTTTTAAAAAAATAAACAGGGGCTGGTGAGATGGCTCAGTGGTCTAAAGCACCTACTTAGAACAAGCTTAGCAAAGCATCAGGGACCCGGGTTCGATCCCCCAGCACCACATGCCAGCCAGCCCC